GATGGTAGTATGTAACGAAGAGTTTCAATATGGTAAATTTTGAAGAGGGATATGAATTCTGAGTCATGTAACCACAAGTCCTGACACATCAATCAAGAGGCCCAGTAGTAGTTGAGTTAGGAGACGTGTGCTGTGTGTGCGCCAGACAGGCAGGTGTTGTTGAAGAAGGCATTGCGGAGACAGAGGGACGCAGAGGGAGGCGACCTGGCAGACCGAGGGGGCGTTGTGTGACGCGGGCCTTTGGGGAGGCTTTTCCTGGGACAGACGGGCGATTGGGGCATTGTCAGGAGTCAGCATTGTGCCGGGCCACAATTACAAAACCTGGGATCAAATATAGCCCACACCACACCTCTTATAGTGGTCTTTGATTTTCTGGGCACAGGCAAAGTGATGCAGGGTCTGCATAAAGTGGAGGGAGAGATTGGGCCCCAGTGACAACCCTTCCCTCACTCTCTGACAATGACAGCAGCTTGTGGGGTGTTCCCCAGGTAATGTCGACGTATACTGAGTATACTAGAATTAAAGTCATGCGCATCTTCGTTCTCAGTGTATAAGGGGAATCGTTTCACTAGGATGTGGCAACATTCGTCAGCGTCTACTTGGGGGGGGGGTACCAGGACAACCCCGTCAAAGCCAACAGTTTCATAGACCTCAGGAGTCTGACACTTGATAAAGTTCCTGTTCTTACCTTGTCGGAATTGAATGTTGAGACCGTGTTGTTTGCAGTACTTCATCATCCAATTTAACCGTTCCCCTACAGTTTTCAGTGAGTCCTTGGGGAAGTGCAGATTCAGCTTACTTGGCTGGTTGGCAGAGGGCAGGGTGATAGGGTCCATGACATTGGTTTTTCCACTCCGGCTAGTGTTTCCCATAGAAACATTACCGTCACTGTCACTGTTGGATTCAGTATGACCAGGCGAGTTGGCGATAGCATCCATATCAGAGATGTCTGCATCCTTGAGAGAGCCTCTTCTGGGACGTTTATGTCGACGCCCCATGCTAGCAAAAACTTACCGGCTGAGGGGACCTTTGTGGGACGATCGGGAAGTCAAGAGCACCTATGGGCACGTCTGTCCCCTTAGGTGGTCACGCCACGACTGTCTTATAATAATGACTAGGTTTTAAGGTAACATCTCACCCAACCTGACCTTGGGAACTCCTCCATCAGCCACGAGTATCGACATTATCCTCTATGAGGTCCCGGCGCCGCAATATTGTAATGCGTTGAATTTTGCTGTTGTCTAGAATAATTTGCTTTCCTTCGCTGGTGATGACAACTGTTACACTAGTCAGAGTATAACCCACTGCCCACTACACTGGCTAGTCTCTCTCGTACATAACTGAACTTGTAACAAAATAAATGAAATTTTGAACCTCGTTGAGCCTTCGCATTAGTTGTTGTTCCACTGTGCCACAAACTCTGAACAACTGAGGGATGTTTTATAATCCAGGGGAAAAATAACAGCCAGGTCAACATTTTTGTGCACCTGTTGTGGTCAAAGTTACCTGGACATCAAACAGTTCTCGTGTTTATAACTTTGGAATGTTTCTCTATAACAATTACTCTGCATCAGGTAAAACAATATTTGGCCGTTGGTTAAAGTTTTACGACTGTTTATTTATTTGTGTAATATAGTTTATATTTTGTAGTCATTTAGTGTGACAAACTTTTAGTTTATAATTATCAGGTCTTAAAATATCATGCCCGTCCTGTAGTAGAGTAGAATTCTTTACAACTGTTCAAGCCTTCATTGAGGTCATAGTGACGATGATGTCTGTGTGAAGTAGATGAACACAGAGGGGGTGGAGTGTGTGGCCACCCTCGGTCACTGTACCTGTGTTGATATAAGCGGTGTAAGTGGTCAAGGTGTTTTGTGATCATAGGGGTGGGGTGGGGGGGGGGAGTGCCAGGGATACGTAGGCCTGATAACCAGTTACGAACAAAGTGGATAAAACCTTCGATACACAAATAGGTTGTGTGGCCGACCCTGCCCTTAACCACTGCCAATTCCGTAAACACAATGTTGGGTGGACTGGGAGTGCCCCCGGACGCATATGCCCGAACTATTGTAGTACTGTCTGCTACGATTTAGCTCAACTATAACTTCAGCCGATCAGAGCGCGACCTACATCCGGCAAATTGAAAATGGGAAACTTTCATAGACAACTTTAAAAACATTTAAGTGATCCAGTAAATCGATAAAAAGTTGTCACAAATATAAATATAAAATATGGCCAGGCGGTCATAAGCTCTCAGGCCGGGATGGTGAGGTACAGTCAGCCACAAGTCCGGTAACCTGCTTCAATATTCTCAGCCCCAAACCGACTCTGGCTAGGAGGAGCCTTGATGGTGTTCACAGATGGCGCTCCTGTGTACACAAGTCTAACATGAAGAAAAAAAAACTGACGCCATGGGCAAGTGTAATGCAATAACGGTACGAATAAGAAAACAAAAATGCATACAAATAAATGATATAAATATTTCAACAGTGAACAGCATACAAATATAGGTAAAGAACTTGTCATTCATATTACTGCTGTGATGTGACAAGAGCAGCATCACGAGAAGCTCTTTAATGTTCACTACTGAGGCAAACGTCGCCATTATATGAAGCTTAATAATAATGCGGGTTTATTCATTAATACTCAAAATACCAAAGGCATTATTATTTTGTGATATATCAATATTAATGGAATATTACTGAGTGTATGAGCCAATGAGCTGCAAGAGGGGCGGGGCTTAAACCGTCAACTAAAACAAAACAAAACTGACTACATTTATTCTTTAGTACAATTATTTCGCCTCAATATGTACTTTTATTAACCATATTCATTTCGGTAAATGTTAAGGAGACATTAACCATTAACATTTATTAACTGATTTACACGATTATTTCATCAGATTCATCGGTTTAGTGAATATTAATCATGTTTACGAGCGACCATACGAGGAAACCCAACCCAACCAATCTTAGTGTGTGACGACCACCAATAAGTACTGTTATACTTGTGAAAGATGCGTGATTATTGGATTCTAAAGCCACAGAAGTTTCCTAACTCGACCAATCTTAACCCACACGAAGAGCTTTGAAGAAGATGGAACTTGAGGGGGAACAAAAACCTAACCTAACCAATATTAACCTTTTGTTGGCCACACGATTATCGCTACACCTTTAACATTTTTTTTTTTACAAGTTGCTCATAATATCCCAGAGTACTTTTGGGTCCAGTTCTAGGTATATCTCGTCATTTTCTAACAACTTTTCTTAGTAACGTTTCCGTCACAAATGATTCGTTTTCGAGGTTTACAGTTTGGCTGTCTCTTAAAGGAAAATCTGTGTGAACTTTGTTATAATAAGTACACATAACTCGCTTTTGGTTCTCTCCCCAAAAATAAATCAAATTACTCTGGTCCCCAAGACACTCAAAACGAGTCATTTATGAGTAGATATAGAAGATCAGAATCGTTCAAAACATCAAAACCACTGGAAACACATATACCTGTTAAGTTTCATATGTTCAAACCATTATGGCATCTTGTGAAAAAACACCCCTACCATTTATTAACCCAAACATTCAGACCAGATTATTGTCCTCCACTTCACCTCACACCTCCTGCCACTCCTCATCTTAACACCTCCCTCTCTCATCCTCATACTCACTCCTCATCACCACACCCCCACACCCCCCCACACCCCACCCCACACCTACCCCACCCCACACCTCCTCCTCCTCCTCCCCACTCCCACACCCAACACCTCCTCCTCCTCCTCCTCCTCACACTCACACCTCCCACACTCCCCATCCCTCACAGCACTCCTCCTCCTCTCTCACCTCACACCTCCTCCTCCTCCTCCCTCCCACACCTCACCTCCTCCCTCCTCCTCCTCCCCAACTCCTCCTCCTCACACCTCCTCCCTCCCTCCTCCTCCTCCTGCTACCTCACCCACACCTCCTCCTCCTCCTGCTACCTCACCACCTCACACCTCCTCCTCCTCCCACACCCTTCACCCTCACACACCTCCTCCCTCCTCCCCACACCTCACACCACACCCCCTCCTCCCACCCCACACCCAACACCTCCCTCCTCCTGCCACCTCACCACACACCTCCTCCCACACACCCCCACCTCACACCTCCTCCCTCCTCCTCCCCACCTCTCTCCCCACACCTCCTCCTCCTCCTCCTGCTACCTCACCTCACACCTCCTCCTCCTGCTACCTCACCCCACACCTCCCTCCTCCTCCTGCTACCTCACCTCACACCTCCTCCTCCTCCTCCTCTGCTACCTCCCACCTCACACCTCCTCCTCCCCTCTACCCTCACCCACACCTCCTCCCTCCTCCCCTCCCTGCTACCTCACCCCTCCCCACACCCCACCCACACCTCCATCCTCCCCACTCCACCTCACACCTCCTCCCTCCTGCTACCTCCTCACACCTCCTCCCTCCTCCTGCTACCTCCCCTCCCACACCTCCCTCCTCCTCCCTGCTCCTCACCCCACCTCCTCCCCTCCTCCTGCTACCTCACCTCACCTCCTCCTCCCTCCTCCCTGCTACCTCCCACCTCACACACCTCCCTCCTCCTCCTACCTCACCTCACACCTCCTCCTCCTCCTGCCTACCTCACCTAACACCTCCTCCTCTTTCACCTCACCTCACCTCCTCCTCCTCCTGCTACCTCACCTAACACCTCCTCCTCCTCCTGCTACCTCCTCCCACCTCCTCCTCCTCCTCCTGCTACCTCACCTCACCTCCTCCTCCTCCTGCCTACCTCACCTCCCTCCTCCTCCTCCTGCTACCTCACCTCCCCACCTCCTCCTCCCTCCTCTACCTCCCCCTCCTGCTACCTCACCTCACACCTCCCTCCTCCTCCTCCTGCCCCTCCTCCACCTCCTCCTCCTCCTCCTGCTACCTCCTCCACACCTCTCCTCCCCTCCTCCTGCTACCTCACCTCCACCTCCTCCTCCTCCTCCTCCCTCCTGCTACCTCACCCTCCTCCTCCTCCTCCTTCCTCCCCTCACACCTCCCTCCTCCTCCTCCTCCTCCTGCTACCTCACCTCCACACCTCCTCCTCCTCCTGCCTCCCCTCCCACACCTCCTCCCTCCTCCTCCTGCTACCTCACCTCCCCTCCCCCTCCTCCCTCCTCCTCCTCCTCCTGCTCCTCACTCACACCTCCTCCTCCTCCTCCTGCTACCTCACCTCACACCTCCTCCTCCTCCTCCTGCCTACCTCACCTCCACACCTCCCTCCTCCCTCTCCCTGCTACCTCACCTCCCACCTCTCCTCCTCCTGCTACTCACCTCCCACACCTCCTCCTCCCTCCTCCTGCTACCTCACCTCCTCCTCCTCCTCCTGCTACCTCCCACCTCCTCCTCCTCCTCCTCCTCCTGCTACCTCACCTCCCACCTCCCTCCTCCTCCACTACCTCACTCCCACCTCCTCTCCTCCTCCTGCTACCCCTCCCCTCCCACACCTCCTCCTCCTCCTGCCACCTCACCTCACACCTCCTCCTCCTCCTGCTACCCTCACCTCCTCTCCTCCACCCCTCCTCCTCCTCCTGCTACCTCCCCCTCACACCTCCTCCTCCTCCTCCTGCTACCTCTACCTCCTCCTCCTCCTCCTCCCTGCTACACTCACCTCCCTCTCCTCTCCTCCTGCTACCTCACCTCACACCTCCTCCTCCTCCTGCTACCTCACCTCCCACCTCCTCCTCCTCCTCCTGCCTCCTCCACCTCCTCCTCCTCCTGCTACCTCCACACCTCCCTCCTCCTCCTGCTACCTCACCTCCCACACCTCCTCCTCCTCCTCCTGCTACCTCACCTCCCACCTCCTCCTCCTCCTGCTACCTCCACACCTCCTCCTCCTCCTCCTCCTCCTCCTCCTCCTCCTCCTGCTACCTCACCTCCTCCTCCTCCCCTCCTTCTACCTCACCTACACCTCCTCTGCTACCTCCCACCTCCTCCTCCTCCTCCTCCCGCCTCCCTCACCTCTCTCCTCCTCCTGCTACCTCCCACCTCCCACCTCCTCCTCCCTACCTCACTAACACCTCCTCCTCCCTCCTCCTCCTGCTACCTCTCCCACCTCCTCCTCCCCTCCTCCTGCTACCTCACCTCACACCTCCTCCCTCCCCTCCTCCTGCTACCTCCACCTCACCTCCTCCTCCTCCTGCTACCTCACCTCCCACCTCCTCCCTCCTGCTACCTCCCACCTACACCTCCTCCTCCTCCCTGCTACCTCACCTCCACCTCCTCCTCCTCCTCCTCCTGCTACCTCCCTCCCCACCTCCCTCCTCCTCCTGCTACCTCACCTCCTCCTGCTACCCTCACCTCCACACTCCTCTCCTCCCCTCCTCCTGCTACCCCTCACCTCCCTCCTCCCCTCCTCCTGCTACCTCACATCACACCTCCTCCTCCTCCTGCTACCTCCTCACCTCCTCCTCCTCCTCCTGCTACCTCATCTCACACCTCCTCCTCCTCCTTCTACCTCACCTCACCCCCTCCCTCCTCCTCCCTCACCTCACACCTCCTCCTCCTCCCTCACCCTCACCTCCTCCTCCCTCCCACTACCTCACCTCACACCTCCTCCTCCCTCCTCCCTCACCTAACACCTCCTCCTCCCTCCTGCTACCTCACCTCCTCCTCCTCCTCCCCTCACCTCCCACCTCCTCCTCCTCCCCTCACCTACACCTCCTCCCCTCCCTCCTGCTACCTCATCTACACCTCACCTCCTCCCTCACTACTACCTCCTCCTCCCTCCTACTACCTCACCTCCCCTCCTCCTCCTCCCTCACCTCACACCCTCCTCCTCCTCCTCCTCCACCTACACCTCCTCCTCCTCCTGCTACCTCACCTCACACCTCCTCCTCCTCCTCCTGCTACCTCACCCCTACACCTCCACCTCCTCCTGCTACCTCACCTCCCACCTCTCCCTCTCCCTCCCTCCTGCTACCTCACCTCACCTCCTCCTCCTGCTACCTCCACCTAACACCTCCTCCTCCTCCTGCCACCTCACCTCCACCTCCTCCTCCTCCTCCTCCTGCTACCTCCCCTCACCTCCCCTCCTCCTGCTACCTCTCACCTCCTCCTCCTCCTGCTACCTCACTACCTCCTCCTCCTCCTCCTCCTCCTGCTACACCTCCTCCTATCCTGCTACCTACTACCTCCTCCTGCTACCTCACCCCTAACACCTCCTCTCCTCCTCCTCCCTCACCTCCCACCTCCCTCCCTCCCCTTCCTCCTACACCTCCTCCTCCTCCCTCCTCCCTCCCCTCCTCCCTCCCTCCTCCTCCTCCTGCTACCTCACCTCCACACCTCCCTCCTCCCCTCCCTCCTTACCTCACACACCTCCTCCCTCTGCTACCTCACCTCCCACCTCCTCTCCTCCCTCCTGCTACTCCCCTACCTCCCTCTCCCTCCTACCTCACCCCTACACCTCCTCCTCCTCCTCCTGCTACCTCTCCTCCCACCTCCTCCCCTCCCTCCTCCTCCTGCTACCTCCCCCAACACCTCCTCCTCCTCCTGCTACCTCACCTCCCCCTCCTCCTCCTCCCTCACCTACACCTCCCTCTCCCTCCTCCTCCTGCTACCTCACCTAACACCTCACCTCCTGCTACCTCACCTCCACCTCCTCCTCCTCCTCACCCCTCCCACCTCCTCCTCCTCCCTTACCTCCACCTCCTCCTCCTCCTGCTACCTCACCTCCCTCACCTCCTCCTCCCTCACCTCCTCCTCCCTCCTCTACCTCCCTCCCACCTCTCCTCCTCCTCCTGCTACCTCCCCTAACACCTCCCCTCCCTCCTCCTGCTACCTCCTCCCACCTCCTCCTCCTCCTGCTACCTCACCTCACACCTCCTCCTCCCTCCCTGCTACCTCACCCTAACACCTCCCTCCTCCTCCTCCCTCACCTCACACCTCCTCCTCCCTCCCCTCCTCCCCTACCTCTCCCTCCCACACCTCCTCCTCCTCCTGCTACCTCACCCCTACACCTCCT